AAGAGGGAATATTTTGTGTTGAATAACTTTGAATCACCATCATGACCATTCCAATTTTGTGCAAGGGCCTAAATGAAGCAAGAATTCAAATTTTGGCTCAAAAATGGAAAGTGCTTCAATGGAGTTTATGGAAAATCCCAAGCATGAATGCATTGTGTTATTGGCCTTAACTCTGATCAAAACACATTACATAACATGTATGCAATCCAACACAATAGAATTCACGACCTAAGAAGCTCCCAAACGGCCAAACGCATTTTCAAATTTTCAAGCAAAAAAGCAAATCTGAAAACCTAGTTGCAACGCCTCTCAAGCCTCCATTCCAATCCAAACATATTCCTGGTATCCCTAGGAAGCTTTGGCAATCAGAACCAAGCACAATCACTCAAGAAATCGTGCCATAGACCTCTTCCGGTTTGCTTCATTTTTCAAAATCGTATATCACATTTCATAAGCATTTGACCCATTTTCTTTGTTGTTTTGTGTTGCTAGGGGCTTTCTGAAGCTAATAGGATGATTCAATTGCATTCTAATGCGTTATAGCATGATTCACCATTGGAACATTTTAGGTTTTTTCAAGTTTCAAATTGGGGATTTCCCCATACTGCAAAATTGGAACCTCAGACCACCATGGTTGAATTGAGAAGGATGAGACGAAGCAAACGGACCCATCGCGCTCAATTTATGTTCAAACATGTGCTAATCGCTATTATTTGCAGGCCTGTATTTTGGGGGGGTTTAAAACCCCCGCTATTTATTTATGTTACAGGGACAAACGGAGAAGAAGACAGACGTGGCAAGCAGGCGTTGGATCATTCAAAATTCCGCGCGCGTTTTTCCAGGATTCGCTTGCTTGTCCATATAATAATAGTTGCTTATTGCTATGTCAATTGAAACAGGTGGCTCAGATGGCAATGCATTAGTGGATATTCCTAGAGGGCACGAGTTCAAGTCCTAGTTCTGGCCTTTTCTTTCACCTTTTCCATAATTAACTTGCTTTCTTTGTTTTTCTTTTTATATTTTTAATCTTAATTTAATTTATATTCAAATAATTTTCTCATGCATTTAAAAACTCACAAAAATATTTTCCTTTTGCATTTTAATCAAAAAAATGTTTATTTAATTTTTGACATTAAAAATAATATTTTTGCATGCATATTTTAATTAATTGCTAAATAATCATTAATTTGACTTTTATTTGCTTTTAGTTATTAGAATTGATCCAAAAAACACCAAAAATGATTACTCTATCATTAAATTAATTTAATTAACCATTTTCATAAAAAACCAAAAAAAAAATATAATTAACACTTTTATTATTATTTTTATTTTTTGTAAATAAACCATAATTGAATTAGTTTTTTTAATTAGGCCATTTTAACTTTTTTTTTCTTAAAATAATTAAAATAGATTTAGATTTAGGTTAACCTAGAATTTTACTTCTTTTTTTTCCTATTTTATTTCATAAAAAAATATAAAAACAAAAAAATATTTTCTTGTAATTAAAATAATTAATTAGTTTTCAATTTCATTTAATTACCAAAAAAGGCAAAAAAAATCAATTTCCTTTTCTTAAAAGGGTCAACACCCTTGGACATTCCGATTTAATTTTATTCGCGCGCATTTTAATTTTAATTCCTTATTTTGGATTATTATGCAACTGCTCCGGATATGTAATAGTAAATAGGACCTTTTACTGTTTTTTATTTTCGTACTTATTTACCTAAAACGGGTCTTTGTAATTTTTGGCGATGTATAGACCCGCGCCTTGTAATAGCGTAGGATTTATTTTTCCGCAATTTACTTTTCGCACCCCCTTAACTGTTAACTTGTATGAAAGAATGCATGCTAATTAAAAACAAGCGTAGCTCACCATAAATGATCAAAGATAACATAACATGAAAACAACACACAAATTCACACACCACTCTTAGGGTACGCCTCACTGTTGCCTTGCCTTCGAAAAGTGGTCGTCGAGTATAGGACGTTTTAGTAAGTCCTTATGTCCATGATCTATGGCATAAGGGTAGCTTCTAAGGTGTCCTACTATTGCTCTGGTGACCACACTGTCCCTACAAACAAATTGACCCGAACACCTCCAACGGTGGTGCTACCTACCTCTCAATGGTGGGATGGCACTACCTTAAGGACTTCTACACAGCCTAATTCCTTAGGATAGGTAGATGACTCGTAGATACTTGCTCTATTCAAAAACAAATCAAAACTCTTTTCACACTGACACTTTCAAGAAGCTTTCAAAATAATTTTTCAAACACTCTTGAGGACTGATACAAGAGTCATTCTGAAATCTTTAAACGAAACTTTTTCAAACCCACTCACACTTTGAAAAGCAAACCATTTTGAAAACACAATGAGCAAGTATCTAAGAGCCCATGGATAACCATGGATAGAAAGGGTGCTAACACCTTCCCTTTCTATAAATCTACCTCCCGAACCGAGAAACTATCTCATAAGGAATTTTGCTGTGCTTTTGTCCTGTCCATGTTGGAGAAAATAAAAGACGGTGGTGACTCTTGCTTCCGCGACATTTCGCGAACCAACGTTAAACAGTCAGTTCCGGATCCACCGATCACAGTAGTGATTAGGTGAGAAGTTGTAAACTAAGATTGTTTAGGATTTAAACTAATGTTGTCATAGTTCCTTCCTGGCTTGGTACCCCCCATAGTAGGTAACATTGCACCGAACTAGGTTAACAATCAGATGTGTTATTTATCATTCTGCAATTTATTTCTGAATATTTTACAATTTGATATTATTTTTTTGTATTAGGAACATATGTCACAATATTTGTCTTGACATTGTGTTATGATACTGGAGCATCAATATTAACATGTTTTAAAGTGCCATAATTTCACCTATGGAGACGAACTTATAAATTTTATTACTTTGATACGTTTAGTACACTTATTAAATCATCATTAGTGAACGAGTTGGATATGAAATGTGTTTAGGGTTTTCTTTGTTAATGGAGATGAAAAACTTGTTAGGGTTCAAAATGGTTTTCGTAAGCGCTGAATGTTGTTTTCTTAAGACAACGGAAACTGAATAAACATGACAAGGTAAACTATATTTTTTGAATAAGAGTAATACATTTCACAAGAGTTGGATATTCCAACAGTGATGATATCCTATTGATTTATTTTAATTTTATCAAAGCGTTTATTTTTAACCATTTGAAAATTTAAAAAAGAGAAAACATTTTACCACGATTGGAAATTGCAACAATGGGGAAATGTGACTTATATTAAGTTTAAAAATAAATTAAAAAGAAATATGCCAATATAATATTAAAAAATTATAAATTTACAAACGTTGTGATTCAAACTCACGACCTTTGCAAGATTTTCCCACGACTTCTATATTTTATAGTGGTAAAATGTAAATTATTTTTAATTTAAAAATAAATAAAATAAAGGCGTCTGATTTTCAAGATATCACAAAGTCCTTCAAACAACTGTGGTGAAATGTGTGTCATAGTATGCATTATTTGTAGTAGTAATCATACGAGTATTGACACACTATTTAAGCACTTTTTTTTTATCTTTGAAGACGGTCAGGTAAGAAGACCTCTCCCGTCCCCTTAGCGCCAAAAGCCAAGATGCCCGACGAGTGTAATGCGCTAAATATGCAAATTTCTTATGGCAGATGACTTCATCCTTGCTCGAAAAGTATGTGTAGTTATTTTCAAAAATAGAAGCTCATGTATCATCGAATGTTCTTGGACAGGGACAAACAATAAGGGAAGGGGGCATGACCACTAGAGCTGACATAGTCCCTCGTGTATATCCAAGTTCCCTAGAGTCTTTCTCAAGCGTCTGACACTGACAAACAAACGAACTTTCCTTGAGGTATCTCAAACTCAATACTCACGATGAGATTTCTCCCGACCACGAGCAATAGTGAGCATAAAGCATTCTCCATTACAACATGGGTAGGAGAATCACAAACTTTGCATGCGTAAAGGAATGTGAGCAAATGGTAACCAATTCAACAGGGTCCTCTATTTCTGAACTTCCCTAGTAGCTGGAATGTTGGTTGCACCTACCGAAAGAAGTATGACCCTAAGAGTCCTTTTCATCAGTTACATTGTTTTATAACATTTCATTTTATATGCAAAACAATAATAAACAAGTTAGAAGGAAAAAACCAAAGGCTATTCAAGAAATTGTGATTACCAAATATCTTACCAAAATGATCAGCCTAGCCTTCTTCGAGCAGACATCCATTAACAAACACATCTATATGTACCACTTCCCTCGTCTTTTTTTCCCTCGTATCGGAAGGGACTACACCATCGTGGTAACCCATAACTTCAAAGAAAGATACCAATTATCTTTTCAAGTAATCTCTTTTTGAGAAATATAAACTATTTTATAAACATAGGACCTCAAATCCGTCTGAGAATGACTCTGACGCTAGAGCTCGAAGAACCTGTTTGAACATTGGTAAGGAGGCCTAAGATCTATGGTACATATATTAGCATGGGTCTACTCGTTGAAGGGTTAGCCAAGAAGTAATAATATTTAAAGTGTTTTACATTCTTATAACATACCTCAAAAAGTTATTAAATTTGAAAGTTACACAACACAATACTTATTCTATACCTTCATTTAAAGCAACCATAAAAAGCCTCTAGATGTTACTTCATTTTAATTTGAAAATTAATTATCCAAAATATTTTCCAAGTAATTTTGAAACACATGGTTTAAAAGAGGTAGCTAGAGCTAAAAACGACTGAAAAGTATTAGACGGTGCGGTAGGATGCAAGACAAGTAATAATAATAAATCAAAACCACATATATTATTAACACACTGAAGAATTGGAAGTGAAATATTACATGAACAACAACTTCCTCCAAGCACCCTCTAGAACACACCGTTAGGTTAGGGTTTCGCGCTTCGTTCTTTCACTCAACTCAACGCAATCTCACATAACTAACTCTCTTTCGTTTTCTTTCCAGGTTTCTTGCTCCGTTTCAATGGTGAGAGCTTCAGCTAACTCCGTCAATCCTCACGTTCATTCCGGCGTTCGTATTGTCGTCGCCGGTGACCAAGGTACCGGTAAGTCCAGTCTCATTAGCACCGCCGCCTCCGAGAATTTTCGCCCTAATGTCGCCCCGGTGTTGCCTCCATCTACGCTTGCTCTGGATCTCTATCCAGATCATGTGCCAATCACCGTCATCGATACTACCTCCTCGTATGGATTCTCTACGTTTTCATCTAAGAATTCTTTTATTAATTGACGCCCTATTCTTTGTGAAATCTTTGTGAAATCTTTGATATTTGATTTTGGCAATCTGCATTTCGTGGTGCTTATGTTTTTATCTATTCTACTGCTAGGACAGCAGTAAATGTTGTTTACCCTAATCTGAATGTTCACCATTTTACTTTATTCTTGTTGCAGTATTCCAGACATTGATAGAGTTTCTGAAGAACTAAAGCGAGCTGACACCGTTGTCCTCACTTATGCATGTGATCGTCCCGAGACACTTGAAAGTTAAGTACATTTTGGCTCCCTCATCTTCGCAACTTAGAGGTTCCAATCTTTCATTTTCTTGATCTTGTATTTGGAGTACTATATAATCAATTAAAGCTCCTCTAGTTCCCCTTTTTTTAAAGTGAAGAGATAGAATAATTAATGAGAGAGAAAAATTAATATTCCTAGAGAATGGAAGCGGAAGACTTGATATAGATAGTGATAAATGGTTAAACCAATTACGCTCATCTGTTGTGTAGAAAGTAGAAACACCTATTTCATATGCACATGCTTGTATAGTGTATACGTCTATTAATTGTACATCTTAATCGAATTCACATAGAATGTTTGTACTTTTACTTTCAGAGAATGAATGCTTGACATAGATATTTGAACTTCATGAACAGGTGAGGGTTCCTGTTATAGTGGTTGGTTGTAAGCTTGACCTGCGAGATGAAAGTCAGCAGGTGAGCCTAGAACAGGTATGTCTCCAATAATGCAACAGTTCCGCGAGATTGAAACTTGCATTGAGTGTTCAGCATCTAGGCAAATCCAGGTATGTTTATTCATGCTATGTTACAATCAAATTACTCCTTTTTTTTAAATCTTATTTCAAAGGTGCTACAATTATTTCTAGACTTTGTTTCATACAATTGCAATCACGTTTTCCTTGTTGAAGGTCCCTGAAGTTTTCTACTATGCACAAAAGGCTGTTCTTCATCCAACGGCTCCTTTATTTGATCAGGAGACACAAACTCTAAAGCCTCGATGTGTACGGGCTTTGAAGCGGATTTTTATCCTATGCGACCATGGCAGAGACGGTGCCCTTAGCGATGCTGAACTGAATGATTTTCAGGTTTTAAAATTTCCTTTCTTTTATTAAATGACAAAATTGTGGCTTGTTAATCATATCTGAGTATTGTAGTATGGAACCGTGTATCTTGATTAATAGCTTGTTCACATCATGTTATAGTAGGTTGGTTAACTTTTGTATGTGTAAAATCTAACAAAACTATTTACAGGTTAAATGTTTCAATGCTCCTTTGCAACCATCTGAAATTATCGGTGTAAAGAAGGTTGTGCAAGATAAATTATCTGAAGGCGTGAATGAACGAGGACTTACTTTGACAGGATTTCTATTTCTTCATGCTCTTTTCATAGAAAAAGGGCGTCTTGAGACCACATAGACTGTGCTCAGGAAGTTTGGATATAACGATGATATCAAGCTTGCTGATGATTTATTTCCACCTTTGAAATACACTCCCGATCAGGTGGTTCTTTTGAGATGAATTGTGGCTACGTGTATCATGCTCTTTATATGTTATACATGTTTGTGTTCAATTTTCTGACAGCTAGAACTTATACATTTTCTATTCTCATTGGATTTAATCTCTGCAGAGTGTTGAGTTGACAAATGAAGCCATTGAATTCTTGAAGACAATTTTTGAATTCTTGATATCATCATTATATCCAAACTTCCTGACCACATAGACTGTGCTCAGGAAGTTTGGATATAACGATGATATCAAGCTTGCTGATGATTTATTTCCACCTTTGAAATACACTCCCAATCAGGTGGTTCTTTTGAGATGAATTGTGGCTACGTGTATCATGCTCTTTATATGTTATACATGTTTGTGTTCAATTTTCTGACAGCTAGAACTTATACATTTTCTATTCTCATTGGATTTAATCTCTGCAGAGTGTTGAGTTGACAAATGAAGCCATTGAATTCTTGAAGACAATTTTTGATGCATTTGATGCTGATTTTGTATGTCATTTCCACATATGACCTTGAATAATTTCAATTTTTCATGCTGCTCCCCAATCATTTTTGGACATTTTCTCGATTTACTTCATCGTTATACAAAGTGAAAATTAACCATATATTTTCCTTCCTCTAGGATGGGATGCTGCGACCCTGTGAACTTGAAGAATTGTTTTCCACTGCCCCAGAAAGGTAAACTGATTTCCTCAAAATGCGTGCCTAGATAAATGTACTTTAATTTTCTCCATGAAATGGTGGGTTTATTTGCATTGGTTTCTTATGAAGTTGGTGGAATCTTTCTTATGTTATGTGCAATTTTTCAAATGTACACATGACACGTGCTTTAAAGATGTGGTATATGCTTCTGACTTTGTTTCTTTAATGTTTTTATGAAGTTCAGCTATTCCATTTTTTTACGTATACCTTTCTCAAGTCTAAATGTCAATGAGGACTCTTGGCAAAATTATTTTATGCTTATAATTTTTAACCTTTCTCAAGTCCAAATGTCAATGTGGACTCTTGGCAAAATTATTTTATGCTTATAATTTTTAACCTTTCTCAAGTCTAAATGTCAACGAGGACTCTTGGCAAAATTATTTTATGCTTATAATTTTTAATTGCAGTCCCTGGATCGGAAATCCATATGAGGATGCTGCAGAAAGGAATGCATTTCAAGGACTATCACTTGATGCATTTTTGTCAGAGGTGCACAAGTTTTTCTTATATTTCTCTCTACTCCCTCTTAAATCTTGTTAAACAATGTTATGTAGAGACTGGTGGATTTCTACGGACAGTTTTACCACTCAATTTGGATAGTGTTTTGAGAATCAAGGTTGCCTCAGTTTGACATGTCATATGACTTTATGTCTGGTCTGTGCATCTTTTCAGTGCATATAACATAACATAAAATTTACATCACCATTGATTTGTTTTTAATAAATATATAATATTTTTTCTGGACAGTGGGCACTCATGACTCTGCTAAACCCAACCTTTAGTGTGGAGAACTTAATATACCTTGGTTATTCTGGTGATCCATTATCTGCTGTCCGTGTGACTAGGAAGCGCCGCACTGATCGTAAAAGACAACTTTCTGAAAGAAATGTATTGCAGTGCTTCGTTTTCGGGCCTAGGAATGCCGGAAAATCCGCTTTATTGAATTCTTTCATTGGAAGGTGTGTTGCTGTGTTACCTTGAAGATTCCTGGTACATAGCTTTAATTATTGAACATCATATCTTAATTTTGTTGAATTAATATTGCAGGCCATATTCTGAAGCTTACAATCCAACCATCGAGGATCGTTATGCTGTAAATGTTGTTGATATTGCGAAGGTAAATGACACTTGATTGACACTTTATTTTCTTTCACCTTTTTCCGTACCAGAGTCTTCATTTGATTCATTCATTTTGTTCATCTTGGCATCTGTATATTCAAATTCATGGTTTATTATTTACTTTGCAGGAAAACAAAAAATATCTTGTGCTGAAAGAGATTCCAGAAAGTGGAGTTGAAAAGCTGCTGGCCAATAAGGAGTCTTTGGCCTCATGTGATATTGCAGTTTTTGTTCATGATAGGTGACTGTTGATATTAAATTCCACCATAACATAGAAATTACGAATTACCGTTTCTTTAGTTATTCTTCTAAAATTGCTATAGTATAAGGGTATGTTTCACTATTAAACTACTTAGTGCACATGGTGTATTTGAGCATAAAATTTGCATTTGTGTCTTGGATTTTTAGCTCATATAAGCAACTTTTCAACATCTGAAATCAAATGCATTTAGATAAACTCCATTGTGCATCTGGATCAACTCCATAGAGTTGAAGATAGTAAAATAAGAAATTGAAAGATTTCGTTGAAATTGTTTGTTTGGAAAGTTCCCGAAAAACTTATCATGGGTTCTTCTGTCCAACGGAACAACAGCGCAATTATGCCCATTACTAAACTTTTTGAAGAGATAAAATAGAACCATGATATCCCTTTTTGATCCGAGGTTGGATCGATCATCAGAAGAAGAATTAGGCCAGAAATTAGGATCAATTCTGAAAAAATATAACTTCCATAAAAAAGAAGCAAATAAAAGGCGCATCTGGATCAACTTTCAGTATACCATATAAAGTATGTATTACCGTTTCTTTAGTTAATTCTTCATTTGCATTATTATAAGAATAGGTTTCACTATAAAACTACTTTTGAGCCTGTGGTGTATTTAAACATAAAATTTGCTACTGTGTCTTGGATTCTTACTTGGCTCATATAAGCAACTTCTCAACATCTGAAATCAAAAATATTTAGAAAAACTCCATTGTGCATCTGAATCAACTTCCTAAAACAACAAGTTGGTTGAATACCACGAATTTTGGGTTGAATTTGTCAAACTAATGAAGTGAATTATCCCCTCTAGTCTCAATTAACTGTAATTTCATGTTCATGTGGTCTGGACTGTGGGCAACTCATACTTATTACCTGGAAAAATGTTGGTTGTTTAAAGCTCAGCTGATTAAATATTCATTAATTCTTTTAAGGTCTGTTGAGTCTTCATGGAGGGCATCATCTGAACTCTTGGTAAATATTGCTGGACATGGAGAAAATACTGGCTTTGAGGTGCCATGTCTTATAGTTGCAGCTAAGGATGATCTGGAATCATTTACATCGGCAATACAAGATTCAATTAGGGTATTTTTCATTAACTTATTAGTTTGCATGATAGTATTTGAATTTTACATGCATGTTTCTCTATACATAATTGTTGTATGGTTTAGATAATGAATATTTAATATAGTGAATGGACGTGTTTTGGAATCATGATTTCATCTGATTTTCTGAGTAGCAATAATCATATATAGTGGCCTGTGTATGTGTAGGCTTTGATCTATAGATTGAAATTTGGTTAAGCAGGTTGAGAACTACTTCAACTTTTTTAAAATTGGGATGTTTTGGTTGTAAGAACCCAAGTTTTTGACGGTTTATACCAACATTTAGGAACCAAGGCGGGAGAAAAATCTATATTAGGCTGGCAAAGTAAAGAGAAAGATAGACATGAGATTTGGATCAAGTGAAGTGTGTTAAAGATGAAGACAAAGTCTTGGTCTAGGAAAAGAATATAGAGGATAGACCTGACACAAAAGTACCGCTCAAGGTGAAGAGAAATTTTTTATCAAACAAAAGTTAAACATGCGATGTTGTACGAGGCAAAATGTTGGGCGGTTAAAAATTAACACGAGAATAAAGTAAGTGTTACAGAAATGAAGATATTGCGTTGGAAGTGTGGTACGAGTAGATGAAATTAGATAAGAAATGACAATATTAGAGAGTGTGTTGGGGGTAGCACCTATAATAGAAAAGATGGTGGAAAATAGATTTTGGTGGTTTGTGCATATAGAGAGAGATGAGCTGTAGATTCTGTTGTAAGCAGTGTATGCAAACTCGCGAGTTGATTCGTAGAATCGGACGAGTCAGCGTCCCAAACTTCCACTGTCGCGCTGCAGTTCAGGTGGGATCTGAGGTATCTAACTAGGTAAACTTGTGCGAGTTGTCTAGCTAACTAGTTTTGAAAAAAACCCTAGGCGATGTTATTTTTTGGGGGGACTTTAGTAAAAAAAACTCTAATGTTTTTAAAATTGGCTGGATTTGGGTTGGTTTCACTTTCACTTAAAAACCATAATTAATATTTATTAATATTAATGAGGAATTTATTGAGACACTAATTCATTCCTTTTTAAATACAGTGTAACTTTATCCTGAGTGATTATTTGCGACTGCTTATTACTCCATTAATTCCTCCTCTTCTCCCTAAATTCTTCCTCTCCATTATAAACCGTAATTTCTCTTTCATATTATAATGTTACTACCTCTTCCTCTTAGTTGAAGTGTACTGCATACTGTAAATCACATTATTTAAATATGACGATTTTTGGATTGTGTATGTATTATACATATATAAATATATTTTTCTACCAGTAGTAGGCCTTACGATCCGTGCTCTACTGATTCTGCATTAACTATCGAGTTTTTAAACATTGGTTGTAAGGAGAATAGATTAGATGGAGAGGAGTCAATCAACTAGAGTTAGAGGAAGACCTAGAAAACCTATAAGAGAAACTTTTAAGAAAGATCTCGAGATTAATGAAGAAACTATGGAGAGGACTCATCTGTAGATGGCAGTTTGAAGCTACTAATAACCAGAGTAATCAATCCCGGATAGTGGAGCAGAGCGGCCGACCCAAAAGTGAGATATCGGGATGACCCTGATTTGAAATGTATTTTTTTAACGATTCACATGAATAATATTATACATATTTCATGTAAAGAATTATATAAATACAAAAAAAGAAATAAAAAAACACAAATAAGAGACCAAATAAGAGTTAGAAAAAATAGAGTAGAAACGGTTAGAAAATGATAAAAAAGAAGGAAAGGAAAGAAGAAATGAGATGAAGGAAAAATAGGGAAAAGGAAGGACAAGAAATGAAAGAAAAAAAAGGGGAAAAGAGACGAATCTGAACAAAGAGAGGACAGCGGCGATCCTAGAGTGAGGGAGGAAGAACACGAAACTGAGAAAGAAAGGTGAAAAAGGTTTTTTTTTCTTCTTTTTCTTTCTTTTTTATCGGGAAAGCTGTGTGAACGAGAGAAGTAGAGCTAAAATGAGAGAGAGGAAGATGCTTCAAAACCAAATTAGGGCTTACCTTAAAGAGGAGGGAATCTCAACAATACCCTCAAAACAGTTTAAATTCGAAGGGTAGTTTCGTTTTTAGGGGGTTGAAACCTGAGAGCATGTTAAACCCGCTCTGCTCCTGCGACCTGCTCCAAGCCAAAATGTGGCCGCAATCTCAACATGAGACGTGAACCACGATTCCATAGCTGCTGTCCTCCGTGCCGGTCCGCTCTCCCGGGATAGCGTTGCTAACTGCCGGGATTGATAACCCTGCTAATAACTAAGATTTTGGAAATATTACTATACCCGTTTGCATAAATATTGCCATACCTGATTCAAGCAGAAGTTTGATGTGGCTCTGCAAATCATCTTTGATTTGTTAATTGTGATTGCCTGCTAATCTTTATAATTAGATGATTTTCACTTATTACAACATTTTCATGTGCATTTTAGTATAGGTCCATGTTCTGATATATGTTCAATTAATCTGTTTGTGGCTGACTTGTAGCTAGAAACCTGATAATGTTGTTCATTTTATGGCTTTGTGTGCATTTGAACCGATTATAAGTTCTATTTATCAACTTTTCCTACTGACTTGCAAGAACAGGCAAAGTGTATAATATGTCAGCTTTTCCATTTATGGGCAACATCTACTAGGGATTATATACGGATACGTATAACTGAGTGTTACAACAGATTGTCAAGGAAAAAAATACTGCATTCTGATCTGATGTCTTCCTTGGCATATATGTTCATGGCATATGTGGCTTTCTTGACAGAAATTCTCAAGCAACTGTTTCATCCCGCGGTTGAAATGTAATGATATTCTGACATGCCAATATGTTTTGTAGGTTAGTCAGGATATGGGAGTAGAGGCTCCTATACCGATCAGTGTGAAGTTAGGGGATTTCAACAATGTATTCCACCGAATTGTAAAGGCTGCTGAGCACCCTCATTTAAGCATTCCAGAAACTGAAGCTGGAAAAAACCGCAAGCATTACAACAAGCTCATAGGTCGATCTCTTATGTGTGTTTCAGGTATATCAGTTTTTAGGTTGACTTCATTAAATAATTTGAGCCTATTGACCTGTTTAAATTTGGGATGATGTGATTTATCTTTGGCTGCATGTTCTCTCTTTTGGTTTCATTTGGTTTCATTGTTCATTTTGATTTTATAATGATTTTCCACTTATAACCTTAGGGTGCTATGCCACTTAACTGGTCCCTATTGGTGTTACCATTTAGCTCGCTTTGTTTCTCCAGTGTTGTTGTTTAAG